CGGCTATGTGGTAATTAAAGAGCTTCAAATTCTGGACCACATACAGGACAAGCACACTTGCCCTTTGTAGAGTACCCAGACAGATTAGCATAAGCTGGAAAATCATTAATCGTCCATAATAGAATAGCACGTAATCTAAACGACTCTTTTAAATGGGTATCATATACTAAAATACCCTCAGACCATAATCGTTTTAGCTCATCAATTAGAGGCTCTAAGTAGACATCAATATCATTTCCTGGAGCATGCTTACCGGGTATCAGTAATGAAAGTATCATAAACGGCTGTTTCATACAAAATAATAGAGGTAAATTATATGGCATTAATACAACTGGTCACGTAGACCAGCCAGAGCTCATTACCCCAAATGGATTGAATCCATCGCTTGATAGACCCAGTCTTACATTTCTATCTTACATTTCTGTAATCTTCGGCAAAACGATGATAAATTTTATCAACATGCTTCCAAGCTAAAGCATCAGCAGGATGTCTCAATTTACCATCGTCTACTCGATCATCCTTATGCCACCTCATATTCTTTGCCGTTTCCTTGTTCATGTACAATCTTCGCAATCTAGGAGCCAATGGAAAATGTCGAAGCACCTTGGCTGGAATTTTCTTCTGTGTTAACACTGTCTCCGTTGTAATCCTTGTTGAAGAATTTGTGCGCTGCTTCCACCTAGAAACTCCACATGTCGGACACTCTTGACGGTCTTTATTAGCTTTGTGGTACAAAACACAATCATTCGGACATGCATCAATCTTATTATAATCAAGACCCAGAGCAGAGACATTCTTCTCAGCTTGATAAGTTGTTTGGGGTATGCTATTCTCTCCTCTAGGGATTACAGTCCGAAGCAAATCAAGAAGCATTTCAAAATAATTACCTGACAGACCGCTAAGTGTCTTAATATGTAGGAGTTTCAGCATAAATGAAAATCTGGAGTACTCGGTACATCCCTCGTATTAGTCATTTTCACTATCTTCTAGTAGCTCCATTATTCGCTTTATTTCGGCGGAGGAATGCATATCATTAATATTTTCGACACTTTCGTCACCTCCTACCTCTTCAGCTTCAACTTCAATATCATCTTCACTTTTATCTCCAATATCATCCTCGACATTATCATCAACATCATATTCTGTAGGTCGAGGAAAAATATCATTCAACAATATTTCTGTGTCATCTATTCGTTGGCCACCGGACGTACCAACATGCATATTTGGATCCTCATCTTCAGTGCTACATTTCCCATGCCAGTTCTAATATTTATATTTCTCATCAAAACCTGATTTTATTAGGTGAATCCGTATATCATTTCTATTCAGCAGCTTCAAATTCCTACACCTACAACAAGGACAATACAAAACACCGCTTCTTAAATTTCTCGGATTCATTTCCGCATAACGCATGAAAGCTTCACATCCCTCCTTGTATCGTGTGTCACAAAATCTATGATGCCTAGGGATATCTATCCATGATTTGTCAGGAATTATCCTCATTTGTAAATTATATATAATTATTAAATACGATTAGTCTCACAACTACTAATACATCTATTACTCTTATACATTCAACACACATCAAACATACGTTCATATATCATTTAACAATATGAATATTTATCTACATAAAATATATATAAAACGTACGTAGAAACTAATTACACTAATCTTGCGGCTGTCATAGGAAGGCTTCTATCCATTAAGAATATAGTAGTGCTTACATCCAACTTCATATACTTTGTATATTTTTATTTCTTAAAAATTTCGGCAGCACCTACCCGCTGTTCTCCCTGTACACTATGCGGATGTTATTATGCGTATCAGTAATAACCCAAAACGCAAATCAACATACGCTTATTGTACACAGAGAACAACGAATACGTGCTGCCAAAACTTTCAAGAATGAAAATATACAAAGTATACAAAGTTGGATGTATGCACAACTATATTCCTAACCCGTCCGAGAAGGACAGATCCAATAATTACGAATTTCAATACCAATTTTTTATTCCTATAATATAAAATAAACGCTCATTTTTAGGAGAAAACTTCGTCTCCTACCCAAATCTGAGTCATATATCATATATTATAAGTCCAAAGAATTAGATGTAATTATTGGACGGAAATCTAAGGATAACGTTATTTTTTTATTCACCTAAATTAGATTATAACACATTATAAAAATTTATAATGTGTTATATATCACTTTATTTTTTAAAAAAAATTATTTCACATATTTTCACATCACAAACTTAAATAATCACACCTACTTATAGCACGAATGAAACTTAAATGAGTTAGGGTTTATAAGTGTTTAAAAAAAAATGATTACTGGTGGTGTTCAAATGAATTAACATGTAGTTAAGTTAGGATTTTCAGAATTGAACTCGTTTATTTTTTTATCATAAATTAGGGTTTCTAAACTAAATTCAACAATAAATAATAATAATTTAAAAATTCTAAAGCTCGGTAGAAAAAACATACCTTTTAGGCAAATGAAAGACCGGACACTGTGCGGAGGAGGAGGGGCTGCCGAGGGGGGGGGA